GCCCGCTGGGGCGCAGGGCGCGGAGCCCCCTAGTGTGGGCAGCGTGGAACTGGAGCAGTTCGAGGGCGCGGCGCACAGCACCCCAGTGCACAGGGAGGTGAGTGCCTCGTGGGAAGGAGGCAGCCCTAGGGCCCCTTGGACCTGGGTCTCAGCCCTGGGGGCAGCTCGGGATGCCCCTGTCCCTGGCAGAGGGAAGCCTGTGTGGCTTTAAGGCACGCAGGGCCCATGACATGGCACCCCCACCTGGTCACGCCTTCCCTTAAGATAGTCAAACTGACGGGAAACCTGGACTGGAGCTGTCTGGGCCTGTCTGGATCTGCTGACGGCTTAGCTCTGTTCGGGTTGTTTTTTATCTGAGTAAGGGTTAGAGATGTTTTTATTTTTCCCACCCATCATTCCGACCTCAGTATTCACATCTGCCTTTAGTGGATGGACAGGTAGGTCTCTGTCCCCGCAGGTGTCTCTGTTTTCAGCTCTGCTTTCTAGACTTTGGAATTGTAAGTTTTCATTCGAGGGACTAGGCTGGAACTCAGTGGCAGGGCCCGTGCTAGCTTTTTGGAGGCCCTGGGCTGGACTCCCAACATCACCTCCCAAAACAACAAAAATTCTGTTGTAAAAATATAGTTTATACTCAGGCCTTGAGTGAATCCATGTTGAAATATCCTTTGTCTAAAAACTTCAAACTGGGAACCAGCATGTTTTAGAGCACTAACTTGTGTGTGCTCCCCAAATCCAGAGTCCCTGAAGTGAGTTCTTACAGTTTGAATGGTAACCTAGAGATTTGGAATAACCTGGAAGTTCTAGAAAACGTTGAGAAGAGATACGTGAAATCAGCATCGCAGTGAAAAAAAAATCCGTGAAAATCACAACAAGGTGCTGTGACATTAAACTCTCCAGTTATGGCTAGATTATTTCAGTTCTTTTTCCGTAGCATGTGCAAGTTTTGCCTGCTGAAAGTCTTCATAACGTTTTTTTTCACTTTATTAATAGTTGCTGTGTTTGAGCTCTAAGGAGCTGGAGTTACCTTCCCAGCCTGGCAAACAAAGTCTACGGCTCTGTTTGTTGGTGTCATTGTTTTTCTTTACTTGTGCTTTTCTTTTTTGTGACGTAATGGCGGTACTGTTTAATTTTGTTTTGTTTCCTTTAATCTTCAGAAGTTTTAAATGACTTCAGTCTGACTTTTCTTCCTTCTCTCCCCTTCCTGCTGGAATGGATAAAATGCGACATTCCATAGAAGACACACAGTAAACGGTAGTGCGCACCTGAGTTCCTTTCATGCCAGCATACTCCCAGCCTGGCGCTACAAAAAACGTTCCCGGGCTCCTAAGTGAAGGTGGTACTGACGGTGTATTATTTCAACTTTTCTTTTTTACCAGTCACCACAGGCTTACAACCACAAAATCATTTTTGGTGGATTCATTTTGGGTTTTAGTTATAAATTTCTTCTCTTCCTACATTTTCTACATTTGCTTCCATCGCCAGGGTGTTTATAGTCCTTTCCTCCACTTCCATACCCAGGAAGTGCAGATAAAGTCTGGGGAGGTCCTTAAGAACTAAGAAGACACTTATGAGAGAAAACCACGAAAACTTGAGTAACCAATTTCAAAGACTTCTAGAATAGGTCAGAAAGCAAGCCTCAGCTAAAGCAAGCCAATAAACAAAAGAAAACCCATCCTGGCAACTTGCCCCAACCTTTTTGACCAGCACTCTTTCTGTATCAAACCACTGAAATAAGAAATGTTAAAAGGGTTTCTTATATTTCTATAAGCAACCTGTGGTTTCAGCGTCAGTCTGGGAGTACATTGCTGTGAAAGGAACTGAGGTGGGTACTCCTGTTTAGCGTGTCTTGTGTGGCCTGTCGGTGCGTTATCTGCAGACTGGTGAGACTGGTAGTCGGGCCCTGGATGATTTTCAGTACCATTTTTGTGGTGGTTTAATAGTGGGAGACGTAGGAAAGCCTGCACAGAGCAGTACACAAAGGAGCCCACCCTGGACCAGGCTGTTGCGATTGGAAAGCAAAGTAAAGCTTTTAGGCAGATTGGATCTGCTGTCCTGCCCTGCCTCGTTACCACGAAGAGAAACCCGCCAAAAGGATGACTTTGGGATGAATGTCAGCGCTGCCCACTTAATTGAATTGATGGAGAGCAAACAGGTACCTTAGCGGTTGTAAAATTACTAAAAAGATTAATACAGGAAGCTCTCTAAGCCTTGAACATGCTAAGATACATTGTAATGATATGACTGGGCTGCAGCAGGTCTAGGAATATAGAAAATCTATATTTTGGATTATGAAAATGGAGTTCCTAAGATACGATTCATATCATTTATTTTAGAAGCCTGTGATAGGCAGTGTCTTTAAAAAGCCAGGAGTCAATTTGTTTTCCTTCTTTGCTTAATAAAATCTGGATGGCCTTTGGTAACTCTGTGCTTTTAAATTAAATCCTGGAGCCAAGCTGAAATAAAGCCCTACTGGTTTCTTTCAGTGGCCAGAGTTGTTGGGTGAGACTTCAGAGTTCCCAAATGTGTCTGTGGACAGCCACTGTGACACCCGCGGAATGCCTCCCACCCGTACAGAGTGGGACAGCGGGACAGCGGGCTGCTTCCCTAAGCACGGCAGCAGCATTGATTTCCTGCCCGACAGCAACAACTGTGCCTTCTTTGCTCTCCACAGGCCACCGAAAAGGAGCAAGAGTTTGCTGCCACAGCTGCCAAACAGCTCGAATATCCGCCGTTGGAAGACGACAAGCTCTCCCAGAAGTCCTCCAGCAGTAAACTCTCCAGGTCGCCTTTAAAGATTGCCAAGAAGCCCAGGAGCATGCAGTGCAAGGTGGTCCTCCTGGACGGCTCGGAGTACACCTGCGAGGTGGAGGTGAGTGCGAACCCTGCTCCTGCGGCAGGGAGTGGACCTTTCACCCACAGCAGGCGTCCGTATTTCCTCACAACTGTGGACCTCGATTCTAACCCTGAAAGCATTCCCAACGCTGACCGGAGATCAGGTTACTAAAAAGATTGACACTGTCCCAAGATGTCGCCATGAAAAGTAAAATACACATATGCATGAGATGAATGTATGACAGAGTATCCAACACTTTCCACGCTGGGAACAAAAAAAAAAAGTTGGGAGTCTTAAAATTGGGCTCTCGCTAACATCCTGGCCATGGACTCTTTCAGTGAGTTTTGTCTGTGCTTTGTGCACAGCTCCGGCCACATAACTCCTTACTTGCTAGGAACGTATACTTTCTGTATCTAGAAAATCTGGGACGGCTTTACATGCCGGTTGCCCTTTCTGGCTCAGGGAATGGGTAATTTTTAAATGCCCTCGTTGACGGTGGACACAGAGGTTCTGTCAGGTAAGAGTAAATATCCATCTGTTCTTTATTTTTTAAGCAAATGGAAATCCCTCTCTTGGTGGTGACCATTGAACAGCTGGCATCAGAGATGTTTAGAAGGAACAAGGAGGCAGAGGAGACCACACGGCCTGGGGTGGCCTGGGAGAGGGGAGCTTGCTTCGCTCTCTGAGCCGCACGGTGTGGCCAGGCAGGGCACGGACCCCGCTGCCCATCAGGGCCCTAGGCACCAGGGCAGTGTGGCCACTCTTTCAGCCTAGTAATCCAGTGCAGCCTCGAGCAGCCTCTGCCTGGTCACGGGGAAGCCCCTCCTCCTGTCCTCAAACAGCTGCACACAGCCACCCCAACTCCCCGTGCTCCCCACTCATTTCCCTCCCCTCCCCCATGTGGTAACCTTGTTACCATCCTGGCTGTGTTTCGCACAACACTTCTGTGTGCCCAGTGCTTCTCTAGCAACTTGAAGTTCAGATTCATCTCATACTGAAAGAGTTTCTAGGGAGTACAGACCGCCACACGCAGGCCCATTTCCTACAGCTTGTGGCTCTGATTTTAGTCAGTTTCTCATATCCGAGCATTGCATTAGTGAATTGGATATTAATTCTGAAAACAGGGACTTTGCAGCGTAGGCGTAGTTGAACCCTACTGTAACCCTAAAGGCCTTTCATGACCAGTAGAATGCGCGTCTTTGTGGTGTAGGGCCCACTCTGGAAAAACTGGTCTAAGAGCTGCTTCCCCCTTAACTGGAAGGAGAGTTTTCTACTGATCACATCTGAATGGTGGAATAAATAAGGTTACCTGGCAATCCCTTCTCGTGGCTCCAGGAGTTTTTCCGGAGAATTATACTATCTCACGTAAGGGGCACTGCGGCCCAGTGCTGACCGAGGCACTCATACTATGTATCCTTCTGCCAAATTTAATTGATTCTCACGCTTGGGTCCGTGATCATTAACCGCTGTGGTTTTGATGCAGGATTTGTATTTTATACTTAACCTGGGCTCCGATTCATTGTTACTTTCTGCGTCCCTATAGGGATTTTAAATAGCAAAGCGGTGTTGGTCAGCCCGGTTCTTTTCCCTTATTGGAAAATATTTTTTATAAATTAAAAGAGTGGCTCTTTCTGGGATATAAAAGCTTTGCCAGCAGGATGTTTCCAGTTTCCCAAAAGACATTAGTAGTAGAAAAGCACATTCCTGGCTGACGTCCTTGTGGAGAGGACAGAGGACTGTGTCAAGGCCGCCTGGATAGGAAAGTGAGAATTGTGTGCTTCTGGGGTGCAAAGGGACACTCGTTGGAAAAATGCCTCTTTTTCTGACATAAACTGTGGTCCGGATGGCCTAGGTAGACAGATGCAAAGCTTTGTCCCAGGAAAGATGTCCTTTATTCCTCTGTCTTCTGCCAGCGGAACTTTTGAAAAGCACAAAAACACAGCTGAATGGGTATTTCTAAGTGAAAAAGAGCTTTAAGACACTAATGTCAGTAATCCTAGCACTCCGAGAGGCTGAGGCAGGAGGATCACAAGCTGAAGGCCAACCTGGGCAACTCAGCAACTTAGGAAGGCTCTGTTTCAAAATAAAACAAAAAAACAAGACAAAACAAAAAAGCGCTGTGGAGGTAGCTCAGAGGCTGCCCCGGATTCAGTGCGAGGGCAGTTTGGTGCTTACTGCCGATTTGAGTAAAGCCTGGGTTTATGTCAGTTCCTGACTCAGACTGCAGCAGGAGGGAACTGTAGCCGCCTCGGCGGCTGTGCCTCACAGGCTGCTCTCCCGGAAGGGCCATGCTTGCTTTGCAGAAGGCAGCGGGCTGCTGGCTCTTGAGCTGGACACCTCCATCTGTGGGACAGTGCTTTGCCTCAATGTGCTAAGTGCTCCAAAGCCTGCAGGACAGGGTGGGCAGGGGGTCCTGGAGCATGGAGCTCACCCCCGTGGGAACATGTCCTCCGTTGTGTCCAGTGCTGGAAGCTGAATCCTCAGGTTCAGGTCGGTGGCATTTGGGGGTGAGGGGGTATGGGGGGAGGATGAGGTCATGGCACGGGTGGCCGTTATGGCACTGGTGACTCACAAGAAGAGGACAAGACCACAGTCGCCGCGGGGCACCTCCACCACTTTCCAGGGCAGCAACAAAGCCTTCACCAGATGCCAGCGCCTGCCCTTGGACTTCACCACCTGTAAAATGGTGAGCCTGGTACTTCTCTTCTTTATAAAGTAGCTAGCCTCAGATATTTGGTGATAGCACCAGAAAACAGCCTACAGGGTTTTTGACAGACAAATGAGGGTGAAAATACTTGCCTGAAAAAGGGATCATGAAGAAGAATGAAGCAAATGGTTTCACGCTTTGGTGAGAGGTAGTGTGTTGGTAAGTGGGAGCTCTTTGAAATGATACAAACTGAATTCTTGTGCTTACCTAGCAGAGAATTAAAGGATGGGTTGTTTGAAAGTGCATTAAGCATGGAAAAAATAGGGTTTGGAGGTGACAAGAAAGCTATTTGCAGGTGCTTGGATCACTGAAGGGCTGATGGAACCTGTTTTATGTGGAGAAAGAAAAGCTAAGCAGTTTCAGAAAGTCAGGTCTTAATGAACAGAAGCAGAGTTTTCAGGGGTTGCCATGGGCCTCGTGATGAGTACTCTGTCATTAGAGAGACGTGAGGAGAAACTAGGGGTGCGTTCAGGGAAGTCATCTCCCTCACGCGCCATCCAGAACGGACTCGGCGCAAGGCCCTCTGCTGGTGGAGGGGTCCCGACACCCGGAAGCGCAGGAGGAGCAGAGTCCACGCCCCAGCCGCTGTCGCCTGTGAGTGAACTCCCGGGAGACGATCACAGGCAGCTCTCAGTGTGTTTAATAAGGCATCCAAAAAAGCATTTGCTTCTAATGAAATTTTATTTTAATGCAATTGCTGTGATGGTTTACTTAATGCCTCCGTTCCTTCGCCATCAAAACCAACAAGGCTCAACTCTGCTGTGACTTTATCACTGGGAAAGTATAGTCATCTAAGAGCTGCTGCCAGCACCGCTGGACCCACGGACACACAGACACACGCTCTTTGGGACAGTTTGGTTCTCTTTCCTTTGGAGGCCATAGAGGGACCTCACCTGTTGCTCAGAGAACTCAGTGGGAGAGCTCGGAGGGAGCTGTGCGTGCAGGAGATCAACAGGGCTGCATGAGGCGAGGCCGCCCTGCCGCATGGGTCCCTGGGGTGGGCGCAGAGGGCTCCCCTTTCCCGTGCTCCACTTACCGAGATGTGCTTGGAAAAAAAATTCCGAGGCCGAAGTTACCAGTGTACCTACAGAAACTATTATTTGTGTGATAAAAATAGCTCCTGGTTCCTTTGCAAGTTCTTACCTGGAGAGCACATAAAATTGTTTGAATTCAGAAAGTTGATTAGAAGAACACCCGTCACCTTTCTTGAATCACAAGAAACAATAAATCATTGTAAAATATCAAAAAGGAGTTTTTCAAAGCCTGGACTGCATCGAAGAAGCGTCGATCATGGAGACTCCGATTGCGTAACTGTAAATCTCGACTTAACCCCAACCTGCCGCTCCGCTTGCTGATTTTCGCCCGCTGTTGAGGCACCGTATCAGGCGCTGTCACACGTGTGACCCCAGGGCCCCGTCCAGCGGCAGCAGCGGGATCCTGCTCACAGAATGCTGCCCCCGGGACTCCGGAGGACGGAAGGGCATGAATTAACTGTGTTCTCCGTGTGATGGCTCTTCGGTGCTGCCACAGGAGCAAGCACACTCAGGGGCTGTTGCCGCGCAGTGTCTCTTTTCCCGGACAAGGTTACTGTTTGTTTTTCTTCCCAAGGGAGCGAGGGTGGTCCCCATTACGGTTCAACGAGGGCTGCCCTAGCTACTAAAATGCTTACATGTGTTCATTTTTAAGCAGTCGCTTTGAATAGTCCATCGTGATTTAGACCCATTCTGCTAAACACTAGAAAATCTCGGTGTTGAAGATGTGAGCCCTTACTCGGGACACGAACACAGCGCCTCCTTCCCGTCTGTTGTGTCCTGTGCTTGCGCTTTGGAAGCTGAGCGACTTAGGAAGTGGACAGGTGTGACTGGGAGCCGGGGATGTGGGAGGGAGAAGCCTCTGAGGAAGCACTGAGACCCTCTCCCCCAGCGAAGATGCATCCGCCAGTGCCCACAGTGCGGCACTGTGGGGTGGGACGGCTGCCTTCTCCTGGCTCCTGCAGCCTGGCTCTTGTCCCTTGTGCTTTACTTCATCGGCACTGCTGGGAGAAGGAGGAGAGCCTCCTGTCTCTGCATCTGGAAGGACAGGTTCCTAAGGAAAGGCGCTGTAGTCCCCCTGCTCCAGTGGATAGCATCTTGCTTATCTTTGTGATTCCTCTAGCTCCATGGCTGGTTTCTAACATATTAAAAGTACATTTCTTGTTTGATGAAGATCGCAGACTTCCAGGTTTGAATATGGTCCAGACTCTAGTTTTCACCATCCTGTGACTAGAAATTCAAGCTATACTGTGTTTACATCATTTACTTGCTCAATTGACCTCCTATAAACGTTTCCC